TTCTACATCCATGGTGGCCAGGATGGTGTTTTCAAAAAGATTACTGAGGTTCTGTAGTTTCCTCAGGAAGTCAGTTGTGTCTTAAAGATATCTAGATATGCATAGGGTCTGAGGAGAGAGTCAATATAACCAGATAATCCTTCTGAAAGTATGCTAATGCTTGAGATGATGGGTCATCTGGGATTTCCAAGTTTGGGTATCTTGGGTAGCAGATAGAAAACTCCTCATTGGAGATTTGTGTGGGGGGGTGTTTGTGTACATTTGGTCGTGAGTTATAGCAAGGAGTTTTTTGAGCAGTTGTTTTAGGGTTTGTTTGAGTTTTTTGTATTCTTTAGTTGAATCAGAGGAGAGAAGCCAGTAGACTCTGGTGTTAATGAGTTGCATGCAGTTAAAAAAAAGGGTACCAGATTCAGTAGAATTTTTGCTTGTTAGTTTTGGGACACTATTCCAGTGCTTCCAGAAAAAATTCAAAAGTAATCACACAGAACATAAGAACGGACGTACGGGTCAGACCAAAGGTGCATCTAGCCCAGTATCCTGTCTGCCGACAGTGGCCAACACTAGGTGCCCCAAAGAGGGTGGACCGAAGACAACGATCAAGTGATTTGTCTCCTGCCATCCCTCTCCAGCATCTGACAAACAGAGGCCAGGGACACCATTTCTATCCCCTGGCTAATAGCCTTTTATGGACCTAGCCTCCATGAAATTATCTAGCTTCTCTTTAAACTCTATTATAGTCCTAGCCTTCACAGCCTCCCCTGGCAAGGAGTTCCACAGGTTGACTACATGCTGTTGAAGAACTTTCTTTTATTAGTTCTATTATGGGAACTAATAAATAACTTTTCTTTATCCACCCTTTCCACACCACTCATGATTTTATATACCTCTATCATATCCCCCCTCAGTCTCCTCTTTTCTCAACTGAAAAGTCCCAGTCGCTTTAACCTCTCCTCATATGGGACCCGTTCCAAACCTCTAATCATTTTAGTTGCCCTTTTCTGAACCCTTTCCAAGGCCAAAATATCTTTTTTGAGGTGAGGAGACCACATCTGTACACAGTATTTAAGATGTGGGCGTACCATAGTTTTATACAGGGGCAGCAAGATATTCTGTGTCTTATTTTCTATCCCTTTCTTAATAATTCCTAGCATCCTATTTGCCTTTTTGACTGCCGCTGCACACTGTGTGGAAGTTTTCAGAGAACTGTCCACGATAACTCCAAGATCTCTTTCCTGATTTGTCATAGCCAAATTAGCTCCTATCATACTATACGTATAGTTGGGATTATTTTTCCCAATGTGCATTACTTTACACTTATCCACATTAAATTTCATTTGCCATTTTGTTGCCCAATCACTCAGTTTGGTGAGATCTTTTTGGAATCCCTCACTGTCTGCTTCTGTCTTGACTATCCTAAACAGTTTTGTATCATCCGCAAACTTTACCACCTCATTGCTTACCCCTTTTATGTACAGAAAAATACATTAAACATATCTACAGTGTACTGCATCAATCTCCAAATACTATAGTTAAACTATTATAATCTGTAAGAGTTTGAAACCATTTCTATATAAATAAGCATAGATTTTATGAATGGGAATACATGTCATTTTTAATTTGACTTCTTCTATCAAGAGAATGCCAAGTACTAAAAATGTTTCTCACCTTTCCTTCCTGTTTCTCCTCTTATTGTATTAGGATTCAATCAGGTGTAGTGCTAATCATCCTCAGTTCTTACTGAAATCATTAGATATTGAGGATACTGATCATTGTGTGGAGTCAGGCACTTTAAGAGAGACTGGGAAAGCAGGATTGATATAGATTACCCCAGTATTTTTTATTTCTTCTCTTTTCCCCTATGTCTTTTCTTTTCAATCTGATTGTGTATATATCTCAAGAAATAAATTAGTTAGGGATGAGAATCCCAAATAGTGGCAGAAGCTCTTCCAAAGGTGAATGTATATTACTTATCATGGGACCCCCTCCCATGCACTGCCAGCCCCAGCTCTTAAAAACAGTAAGTTTGAATTAACCCTGAAAGAACAAATCACATCCAGGCTACTTTAATCTATGATTTTGTAGGCAGGTATCCAGATATTCTTCTTGATGCTTTGTGAATATATATTTGGTTTTACTTTGTAACATTTCCTAACGTGAAGCCAGGCAGAATCTCAGTAGAGTGGATTCAGATTTCTGAATGGACACAAATATGCTTTTTATTTGGTACCATTGACATTGCTCAGTAATTAAAGGGTATCTGTGAACACTGGCTTTTGTTCATTGCTGAGCACTTCCATTTTCTGCTATTAAAGGTACTCTTTGGCCCTCTTTGAATGGCAATGGTTTTCATACTGCTAGCCAAATGCTTAGAAGACTGTGATCATGTCTTTTTAATGTTTAGCTGAAAGAGCTTGAGGAATACTCTTTGCTTTATTAGTACATTAATAAATAAGACTGTCAAGCCAATACAATTGTTATTAATTGCATAATTAAAAATGAATTGTTTAATTGCACTGTTGAACAATAATGGAATAGCATTTATTTAAACATTTTTGGATGTTTTCTGTATTTTCAAATATAATAATTTAAAATTACAACAAAAGACAAAGTGTACAGTGCTCACTGTATATTTATATTTTATTATAAATATTTGTACTGTAAAATCCCCAATAGTATTATTCAGTTCCTGCATTACAAGTACTATAGTGCAATCTCTTTATCATGAAAGCTGAACTTAGAAATGTAGAATCATGTACAAATAATAACTGTATTCAAAAATACAGCAATGTAAAACTTTAGAGCAGAGATGGGGCATTTTTTTCTATTGAAAAAAAATCAATCAAGGACATCACACAGCCCCACAGAGAGGGGGTGACAGAGGCTCAGGGTTTCCCCTATGCTCCAGGGTGAGGCTAGAAATGAGGGTTTCTGGGCTGGGGCAAGGGTTGAGGTGCAAGAGGAGTGGCTGGGGGTTGGGTTTTTGGGACTGGACTTGAAATGATGGGTTAGGGTCCTCAGTGACTCTGGGCTGGGGCCAAAGGGTTTGAAGTTCAGGAGGGGGCTCACGAGTTGGGTGGAGGTTGGGATGTGGGATGAAATTCAGTCTGTGGCTGGTGGTGTGGGCTGTGGGTTGGGGCTAGGTACATGATGCAGTTCAAGATACAAGCTTTTGGAGGGACTTTGGGTGCAAGAGAAGCTAAGAGTTGAAGTGTGGATGGGGTTCAGGATTTGGGAATAAGTTAAGATGTGGAAGGGGATTCTGACCTAGGGCAGGGGTTTAGGTGTGAGAAGGGATGTGGAATGTGGGTGATAGCCGGATGGAATTTAGCTCAGGTAACTCCCAGTTGGTGGTGAAACAAGGCTAAGACAGGGTCCTTTCCTGCCCATCCTGGCTCCACACTGCTCCTGGAAGTGGCTGTCATGTCTAGGGACCAGGTGGCTCATTACAGTGCACATTGCCTATGCCATAAACACCTCTCCCGCAGCTGTCACTTGTTACAATTCCCAGCCAATGAGATCTGAGGAGTTGGTGTTCAATGTGGGGGCACTGATTGCATCTCCACCTTGGGACTGCAGAGACATGCCAATGAGCCAATGCTTGCGGCCTCAGCCCTGTGGAGGGATGCCATGGCTTGGAACTTCCAGCCCACATGGTGAAGACTTGCTGCAGATTGGATGAAATCAAGCATTGGGCCAGATCCAGACCACAGGCCGCAGATTTCCCGCTCCTGCTTTACAGCCTACAAATCCACTTATTCCTATTTTTGCTCAGCCAACTGCTCAGACAAACAAGTTTGTTTACATTTGCAGGAGATAGCACTGCCCACTTGTTGACAATGTCACCTGAAAGTGAAAACAAGTATTCTCATGGCACTATTGTAGCTGGCATCAAAAGACATTTACATCAAATGTGCTCTCATATATCCCTTCATGCTTCAACCACCATTCCTGAGGATGTGTCCATGCTGCTGATGGATTATGTTCTTAGTCAAAGCAGTGCAGACCAATGCATGTTCATTTTTATCAACAGAGTTGGGTGCTACCATGAGAAGGTTGATTTTTCTTTCCTGATGGTTTGTATTCTGTAGTTTCCACATTAGAGTGTTGCTCTGTTAAGATTTCTGAACAAAAGCACCACACTTTGTCCCCATCAGATTTTGGAAGGCACATCAGATTCTTATCCCTTGGGTTGAGTGCTGTAGCTGTCTTTAGAAATCTCACATTGGTACCTTCTGTGTTTTGTCAAATGTGCAGTGAAAGTGTTCTTAAATGAATGTTTGCTGAGTTATCATCCAAGACTGCTATATCATGAACTTCATGGCACAATACGGGTAAAGCAGAGCAGGAGAAATATCTAAGGAGTGTCCCCCAAGAAGTTCAGTCACATTTATTTAGCACATTTTTTAAACTATCTTCATCAGCATTCAAGTACATCCTCTGCAATGGTGGCCAATGCATGAAGGGCATACCACTGTTTAGTATATCTAGCATATAAATATCTTTCAGTGCTGACTATGAAAGTGAACACCTTTTCTCACTTTCAGGTGACATTATAAATAAAAAGCAGGCAGCATTATCTCCCATAAATGTAAACATACTCGTTTCTCTAAACGATTGGCTGAACAAAAAGTAGGACTGAGTGAACTTGTGGGCTCTACAGTGTTTTGGTTTTGAGTGCAGTTATGTAGTAAAAAAAACTACATTTGTAAGTTGTACTTTCACGATAGAGATTAAAAATACTATTATAATTTTTACAATGCTAAAATTTGTAATGAAAAATAATATAAAGTGAGCATTGTACTCTTTATATCCTGTGTCATAATATATTTGAAATTGTAGAAAAGCTTCAAAATATTTAATACATTTCAATTTATATTCTATTTTAACAGTGTGATTAAAATTGATTGCTCATGATCAATTTTTTAACACTGATTTTTTTTGTTAATCATACGAGTTAATTGTGATTAGTTGACAGTCCAATTAATAATTTTTTTTTTTAGGAAGAAAATTTGCTGAAAACTCTCATTCAATATGGTGTTCGTAGTGGAGTAACTGCCAGTCTTGAAATGGAAGTGGATGGACTACCCTTCTACAACATACATTCAGTTATGATTGAAAAGCTGCTGGCGCAGACACTGCAATGACTTTCCCCTAATAATTTCTAACCTCTGAAGTTTAGAATAGAATGTAACTCCATGGCCAGAATAACAACCAGAAAAGGCTGGTTCTATGACTGTAGGTACTTATATGCTTCCATCACTAGTATCTGAGCATGTTACAATCATTAAGGATTAGCCTTTCAACATTGCTGTCAACAACTAGAAAAGTTTCATTAGCCCCATTTGGCAGACATGAGATGAGGAGAGATTAAATGATTGCATCAGGCTCACATCGGGCATCTGACACTGAAATGAACACAGCTCATGCCTTCACCACAAGACCATTTTTCCTGTTTAAGTGTAAAATTCTGAGTTATAATCAATCACTTGAACAATCTTTAGCCTTATATAGTAACAGGTGACCCATTTTTCATGAAAAAATGTTTTGTGCCATTAAATGTAGAAGTATTATCACAATTGTTTATTCCTGTTTTACTAAGCCTCAGAGCTGCAACAGAAAGTAGTGTTTGATTTTGAAAAGACATATGGAAAGGAGCTGCAATGAAGGGGAGGTTAAAAAAAGTAAGAGGCTTTGTAGCAGTGAAAGTCCTAACTGTATTATCTACACACTTCCAGCAGCTCCTCTGACTGTGTATTCTTTTGATTGTGGATAAACAAGAGACGCTTTAACTGAATTAGTGAAATAATAAGAGCCTTGTATGACTCCTATGTAAAGTATAGGGAAATAATGATACTGACACTTTGCAGAAATTTTCTTTTGATACGAAAGGTCTGGTTTGTGTGTGCATGTGTCTTGCTCTCTCTCTCATGTTCACACTGACACACATTCTAGTTTGTGGCTGAAGGAATTCCACTAATTGATAACATGTACTTAAATTCTATAACCATCAATTAGTAGCTGTACCAAATATACTTTACAACATTAATTTTAGTCAAGAATGTTTTGACATAATAAGTCTTTGTCCCCTCCCATCTTTCCTCCAAACATAGGCTATGTCAGCTACCTTTCACTGGGAAATATTAAGTTTAATACTTACTGTTTTTCTCTAAATAATAAAGATCCCAGTTCTCAGTTTAATCCAGTGATGATGTATGGCATTTCCCTGCCTATTGCAATGCGATTTATGATGTTATAATGAAAAGCCATGGTGATAAAATTTTTGGGATAGTAGTGTCATTAAAATTGCACTGTCCAGTAGGATGAATTTCATTAAACATTGAGATCATGCATCCCTTTCTGTAGGGCAGATGAAATTTTAAGGTTCTAATGGCCAAATTCTGATTCAATTGCACAGGTTTCAGTCTGATATTACACTCAATCTGAATGAAATTTGGCCCCAGATATGTAACAACTCAGATTAGCCTGTCAGGTAGATGACAATTGCATGTAAAATAACATACTCTGCATTCCAGCTCCATATTTTAACTGGTATGGAAGACTGTAAAGTAGTGAAACACAAATAAGGCAATGGATGCATTTAATCTTAATACAAACTTTGTGTGTTCCTTATACAATCTTAGATCAGAAAGAATGAATAGTTAAAGTTGTGTTTGTGCAGACTCCATTTCCAACAATATTCTAACTGTTTTACTGCGATTTGGAACTGCTACCAGTGCCATGTGACCTAGAAGCCAGCAAAAAGATAGAACAGAATGGGGAAGGTTTGGGAGGAAATAAAGATAAATAACACCGCTGATAAAGAAAAAAAGTGTGTGTGTCAGGAAATCAATCCAGCATCATGGGAGCACTCAGCAGAAAGAAACTTTAATCAACTAAACAAACTGAGTGTTAATGTAAACAGCCTAATCCTCTTCTGGGCGTGGGGATATAATTTCTTATGACACAAACAGGAAAGAGAGAATGATCTGAAGTCTCTCAAATGGATTCTGTGGGCCAAAGCCAAAAAGATAGTTACTCCGATCACAGAGCAAATCAATATGGGAGGAAAATACAATCAATGCATTGTTTATTAAATACATTTCCTTATTATTTCTAGTGTATTTCTATACTTTCACAGTGAGGTTCAGTGCTGCATTCAATATGTATTATTTGCTAAGCCCTGATGACATACATAGCTCTGAATAAGACAGTCCTTTCCATGAGAAGTTTACAATCTGCATTACCAGACAACACAAATCAGACCCAGAAGATACAAAAGTCTGCCTTTCAAAGTCTTTTAAAGTAATTGGGTAGTTACAATAGTGTTATTGTGTGAGTTGCACAGAACTGATGTGTTTCAAGAAGAGCTTTGAAAGTACAGATTGGGTGCCAAGAGCAGCAGCGTAGGTGAGATTTTAGGGTGAGGGCAGAAGGCAAAAAATTAGACTTCTAAAGGGAGATGAAGTAAACGTAAGGCAGTATTGATAAATAAAGCAAAGATGTATAAAAAACAGGATGTGGGTAGGAAGAGTTGTGAGAGCCTATATATATACTCTCCATTCCTTTATTGCCAATATATTTTGTACTGTAGTAACTCCCTATGTTTTTTCTTTTTCCTCTGTGTAAACCAAAGGTCATTATGGCTTACTCTATATACAATGCATTTTGACACTGCATTTAGGGAAAAGTGGTTCCCTTTATAACAAATTAAACTATAGAATGTAAACAATTTGTTGGGATATTCAGAAGTGAAACCCATTCTATTCAACACACTGCCTGCCCTGCAATTTATTATAATTTAAGAGGCTTTATGTTCTATGCGCACAAAACACAGAAACATGGAAAAACACAACAATCCAAATTTTAAAATGGTTAGCAGAGTATGGATTTAAATGAATGTGTATCTTCAAATACTGTGAATTAGTGCACTGGCATGTGGTGTCAATTCTATCCGCGTCCCCAAACTAATGCTTGCTTTGGAGTTCATGAAATAAATTAATTGCCCACTAAGTTCCAGATCCCCCACTGAAGTCAGTGGGAATGAATGGCACTGGCTCAAGCCCAAAGAGCAGTGTGAATCCAAACCCAACAGACACTGACTTTACTATCCATTATAGAAAAAGGCTTCATCATGAATTCTATTCCAATGTATCCCTCATGATTTTGTTGTTTGGTTTCTGTGGTCTTTTTGTTTTGCTCTGTCTCAGGGTTCCCTGCTCACTGGTTGTTGCAGCATGGCTTGAGGATGAGGTGATTGGGACAAAGTTACAGAAATCACACACAAACATTTTTCCTTTGGGAAACGTTTATCACTTAATTTCACATAGTTTATTCCATTCTCCACCTTTTCAGAAAGGTGATCACAGAGGTTGACAGCTTTCTCATGGTCAGTACCTGGACAAACAACAAGCAGTTAAAGATCATTATGGCAGATTCACACCACTAACATTTTATTTTAGCAGGTCCAGTCATCAGATCAGCAGCTTCCCCCTGACTTTGGCTACACCGAGTCAGTAATATATCACCCTGTGTGATCTTAGCTAAACTGACCTGGTGTGTATTTTCCCTGCCCTATGTCAAGGTCCAAGTTACTCAAGAGAACTAAGGAATTCCCCTTGTGGCAAAAGTATCAGCTCTGCTCTGCTTACTGTACACATGAGCTACTGAGCTCTTTAGAAGGTAAAGCAGTTGCAATACATTCATAAACCAAAGATAGAAGTCCAAACATAGACCTGGAAAATTTAGATCAGTCTCCCTTTCTAAAGGGTGCTAAAGTTTGTCTATACTGATTGTAGAAGAGTCTTTCATTTCATTAGCAGATTGTAGTTTGTTTAACCGTGTCGCTTCATCCACTGGTACACTGCTGCTTTTTGTGAGGGTTTCTGGAGTTTTAAGCTGGTTGCATTCCTTCTTTTTAGTTCTAAAACATCTTAGGCATGTTAAACAGGAATCTCTCATTTTGACTAAGTTCTGGTAGGTGCTTTCACTGGAAAAGCAATACAATATTGGGTCTGCAACACAATTAAAACTAGTCAACAAGAGAGAAAAGTGGTAAACGTTAAAGATTTTAGCTGCAAACATGCAGGTCGTCTCAAACAAGCTGCGAATTACCAACAGGATGTGGTATGGTCCAAAGCAAACCAAGAAGATGATAACAGTGTTTGAAACCAGACATTTAATTTGAACTTTTGTCTTCTTTTGAGTGCCATGGCTCTTGCGGACAACTCGTAAAATTCCACAGTAAGAAAAGAGCAGCAGAGAGAAGGGAAAAAGGAAGCCAGCAAAGAAGCGGTAATAATTGAATCTGTGCTCCCAGTCTTTGATGGGATAATGTTCAAAGCATATTGTATGACTTTCTGAATCCTTACTAATATCAATATTCTGAAATATAAGCCAGCCCATCAGAATTTCCTTGATCCAGATAACGACGCTCACCATCACAGCGGCCTTTATTGTCCGAAACTGATAGAAACGAAAAGGATGTACCACTGCAAGATAGCGATCCATGGAGATGCAGCAGAGAAAGCCCACACTGATGTAAATGTTCTCATACAGGAGAATGCCACAGATTTTGCACAGTTGTTCATTATAAGTCCAATCGTCATGCTGAAAAAAGTATTGTAGCCACAAGGGCAAAGAGAAGAGGTAGAACAAGTCTGCTATAGTCAAATTACACAGATAGATCCCCAATTCATTTTTCGCCTTGATCTGTAGGTACCCATAGTACAATGAGAGGCAGTTGGCTGGGAGACCTATTATAAAGACAAATATGTATATTGGGGGGGATACGGTCTGGTGTATGCTGTGGTTAATGGTGCAGATATTATTGTTAGTAACGTTTGGGGTAACCATCTTCTAGCAGTGACCATGTATCTTTCATCAGGGTCCCAAAGAGAGATGTAAATTTTAAATTCATCCCGTTTCATAAGTTACTCATTTCTTCTGCACAGACTTCCTGCTGGGGTGTAGTCTGGCTTAGAATCCTAAGAGCCTGAAAGTAAAACACATGAAAGTTTTTATGAGGAATATCACTGAAATTAGCATCACTAGCAGGTGAGGCCCATCATTGACTAGGCAAAGTCATTTTGTGTAGATTACACTTATAGGAATGTTCAAGAAATTAAATATATTGAATAGAACTTTGTATTAATGTGCTTTCAGAAGGGAAGTAAAAGGACAGTTTTCAATTTGTAGGCTTTCAACTTCAAACATTATTCATTTTATTGAATAATTACCATACATAATACATTTGAATTAGAAACTTGTAAAGCTTCTATTACTCTTTCCGTAACTAATTTGAATTATTCTGTGATTCACAATAGTAACAATTTTCTTTGCACTAAAATGACAGTTTAATAGGTGACTCGATTCTGATTTTGTTGGCAAATATTTTATGAACTCTACTCATAATAGTCATGGCTTTTTCTGGTAGAAAACAAACAATTATTTAAACCTTTCATCCAGCAAATTCTGGTGTAAAAAGTAGTGTGTTTAGCTAATTTAAGAGGCAGGATTGTTTATGCAACTTTGGTATCTGTAGGTAATTGTGAAGTATGACTATTTTGCACAAACAAATCCACAAACACTTCAAAATATATAGTAGATTTTCAGAAAGATGAATAGTCCTAGCCCTCAGCTTTTTCAAGTCTCTAACACAAGACCTGCTTCATAAATGTCATTATTTAGGAATAGTAAATGTATGTATATAGCACTTGACACCAAGAATCTCAAAACATTTTACTTTGTAAACATTCATCAGTTTAGCCTCAGAACCACACTATCAGATGAGGCAATATCTCCATTGTACAGTTGGGGCACAGAGATACTAAGTTAGTTGCTGAGGCTTATATTCTCCTTAGGGCAGAGTAGTGAATGGAGTCCTACTCACACTTTCTCAAAGGGCATTGGAGCTATGGCAGAAAACAATGTATTTTTTCCTTCAGTCTCTTGAACAAAACATACTGACTCGTCAATTTTTGCAAGGAAATTGCAAGCTCTCTCTCCTGTACATACCTAGTTCC